GATGGAGTATCTATGAAGAGCGACGGCATCGTTGTTTTTGATTTCTGGCCAATTTAAAGCCGTTTCTACGTAGGCGGATGCGATTCTATAGTGATCTCCATACCTCTTCTGCAGAAGCTGTTTTGCGTGTAAATATCCAGAATGGGGAGCCATGAAGTGGCATGAGCGAACCAGTTMTCTCACTTCACCAGTGGTATGCTGTTCCAAGTAGTGGAGTCTTTCGGTGCCGTTAGTAGTTTTASCTTCAATAAGACTTTCAAAGGCATGTATAAATGTCTGATACTCTAGTGGATCACCACCAAACATAGGAACTTGAAGGTTAGGTAAAGTACTACGCTGTTGTTGCGTGTGGAATAGCTTCATCATTTCATTCTGCTGCATCTGGAGACTAATGAAATCTCTCATAGTTTCTTTGCTGTCGTCATAGGTCGGACGYGAACTATCRTRATWGAGTTGTGGCTTGAATGAATCTTCCATCTCTCCATCAGTATTCTGGGGTCGTAACCAGTCGTTGCATCTTTTAAAGAAGGGCGGTGGTTTTAAGGCTGACTCGTCTTTTATGCTTCCATCGAGGGATGGTAATTTACGTGATCCATCATCTGCATTTCTATTGCTTTCAATATCGGCAAGTACTTTATCTTTTGCTTTGACTTTCTCAATTTCTGTCTCCAAGTTAATTCGGACTTCCTCTTSCTCCAACTCAAATCTTTTTTGGTTTAGGATTTGCTTCTTTTCTAAAGCGGCAGCTTCTGCTTGTAGCTCTGCTAATCTAGCGGCTTCCTTCACTCTGGCCGAGGAAACAGAACTTACCAATGACATATTTTTACTGGCTTTGCTGAATTTACTTGCTTTACTACTCAGGCTGGCTGCATCAATGTCGTCAGCAACGGTATCACTGCGTACTCGGGCTTTAACTTTATGCTTAGGCGGTTCATAAGACGATGCTTGTGATCGAAAAAACTCTCTCAAACGGCTCAACAACTGGCCTTTTTTCCCTTTCACACTGAGACCATAGAATTTGAGTTCTTCCTTGAGTTGAGGCACGGTCCATTTCTCAATGACTCGAACACAAATTCTTTACGATGTTGGCACTGCTTGTCCCATACTCTTGATTTTATTGGAGCATCTATTTAGCCTATTGCATTGCATGGTATCATTTTATTTGTTTTGTACATCAATAGAAAAAATGCAAAACTCGCACCGATGTGAGGCTTAAGCCGTGAACAAAGGGATCTGGCATGATTCAAAAGTCACGAATCATGCCAGATTCATTCGTTCAACAACTCACATCGGTGCTAGTTTTGCATTTGGCCTATAAGTCGAAGCACTGAAATAACAAAGAAAACATGCAATGCCTTGAGGAAGATTTTTTGACTGAATTAAAGATTTTAAACCTCTAATCATCTAAAATATTTAATTAAGTTGCTCTTAAGATTTTGTTTTTTTAATTTTAATTTTTTGATCGGCAAACGAGACATCAAGCCTCGCGGGTCACACTTCAACGAAAATATTAGAGACATTTAGCATCGTGTCCACCGATAACCAATAACCTGTAACAGCTAGGAATCAGGCCCCGAAAAACGCCCGCAAACGCGAAGAAACACTCGGCATCGATGAAATTCAATATGGCGGCTCTTCCAGCAACAACTTCGTTATGACGCCTCGCTAAATGTCGAAAATTTGAAGGAAAACGCCTGACGTCGAACTGCAGTTTGACGTTTGCGGGGCTAGCAAGAACATCGTGCTAAAGGTCCTTAATAATGGTAATGAATAAGAGACAAACACTGCCTATATGCCCAATCATCTTAATAGCGGCCTGCATAGAATACAAACTATATTCATAACACTAAACAGTTATAAAGTGATTTTATTTGGCTCGTGAAACAAAACTGTATGATAAGTAACTAACAAAAGAAAACCAGAAAAGGTTTGGAGGCATGCTGCCAGGAGAGGTTTTACAATACGGTTTCCAGAAATGCTTCCTGTGTTCTGGAAATATTTCAATTGGACCAAAAAGGGCAAGAAAAAAAGGATATCAAACTAAAAGGGGGTACGTGACCCCATCGCCCCCCTCTCCCCTCTTGAACTCCCCATTCTTCCTCCTTTCTTAACCCCCTCCTATTCCTCACCCCCCCCCCCCCCCCCCCCCCCCCCCCCCAAAACCGCACCTGCAGATACAGTCTTTAGTGTTCATGGTGCATGTATTGCATTGTTGAGAAAATTTAAATTTCGTAGGAGTAAAAGATATAGGATTCCTCGACTATTATAGTTTCCAGTGTGAAACGATGAGCTCTGCTGTGTGGATTAAAAAGTCTTTTAAAAAATTTAAAAACAATCTAAATATTGTTGATGTATAATTATAATTTATTTGCTTTGATTTTATCTTCAGTTCCTTCAGCTTTTTCTCTCACTCATTTTTTCCTTCCATCCTTCCTTCCTCAGCTTTTTTCTTTCTTTCTTTTTTCCTGTTCTTCATTCCTTTTTACATTGCATTTTTCCTTTCTTGCATCGAATTTCTTTTTTCATTCCACCTTCCTTCTGCCTTTCCTTTCACTTTCTTTTTCTTCTTTTTCGTTTTTCTTCTTCTTTCTTACCACCTTCCTTTCTTTCCATCTAACTTCCTTCCTTCTTTCTTCATGCTTGAGCATTATCAAGCGCATGCACCAGCGAGAGTTACAAGTTTTCAATCCAAATCCTAAGATTCAGAAGTTTTTAAGTACTGAATATCCGGGTTTCTACCACGGAATGACAAATGTTCTTAATAATAACGATTACATTCCTGCAGCACAAAACATCAGGCTATTCACGCTATCTTCTTTCCCTTGCCCAGCATGATGTACACTAGATTACCGCTGATACAGATGAGAGATGTCAACTGAAAGACGGCTTTCCAACTGTTTGTTAGGTGTAATATGTATCCAGTAGCATACACGCCAAGAATCCCTGCAAAATGGATTGTGGGAGAATGAACACTCTACTCTGTGGTATTGTGGCTGCGATCATGGTTGATTCAAATATCTTAAAAACGGATTATCCGGAGATCAAGACTATACTAAGACCTTCAAATTTTATCGATACCCTGAAACAACCTTTGGACTGCAGTAAGTCAAGGCGTGGTTTACTCACAGATTGAACCCTGAAACAACCTCTGGGCTGATCTAAGTCAGGGCACGGCTAACTCACAGATTGAACCCTAAAACAGCCTCAGGGATGATCTAAGTCAGGGCATGGTTAACTCACAGATTGGACCCTAAAACAACCTAGGGGATGATCTAAGTTAGGGCACGGCTAGCTCACAGATCAAAGTCAGGGCACGGCTAACTCACAGATTGAATTCTGAAACAACCTTTGGGCTGATCTAAGTCAGGGCACTGCTAACTCACATATCGAACCCTGAAACAACCTTTCGGCTGATCTAAGTCAGGGCACGGCTAACTCACAGATTGAACTCTGAAATAACCTCTGGGCTAATGCAAAGTCCAGGAATCGAACCTGAAACCCCTGAGGAGAGGGGCGAGTGCACTACCACTACATCACCCTTGATTCCCAAGGCATTACAACTAAGGCACATAAGATTGCAAAGATCACGGCTTTAGAACACAATAAGCTTTTCATGCTTACCTGGTATTGCCCCCACACAAAAAACTACACCTAAGAATAGAGGGAAAATAAGTTAAATAACATAACAGTTATATAAAAACAAGTTGAATACTGAATACTGCATACTAAATAGTGCATTCCAAGACCGAAGTGCATTGTGGGTTGTGCTATCCAGGCTTCATACAACTGGGCCCAGGCTTTTGCAGACCCTCTCCAACCATGAAAAGTCCAGTAAAAAATAAAATAAAATAAATCAACTTGGTTTATAGAGGATGACACTTAACAGCAATTCAACTGAAAAACTCGTGGTCCTCTTTTGACGTCTTTGATAGTTGATGGGACAGGACCACTACTAATGTGGTTATTTGTCTTTTTTAAAGTTTCAGTTTCCCCTTCTGAGGTAAGGATATTTCCAAGAATAAGAGATGACGTACTTACCACTTATTGAGCCAGCAAAAGTTGGTGACAGGTCTTGTATGTTGCAAAGAGAGCCGCTCGTTGTTAAAGCGGACAATCCAAGGGTGAGGCTCATGCAGAATAATGCCTGCCAAAACCCAGTAGCATAACTAGATGTAAGCAGGATTAATGACGATACTGAAGTGCCAACAGTCTGCAATATAATTAGAATCTTTTCATAGAAAGAACATATATTTATTTATATAATTAAAAAAAAGATTTTTTTTTTCAAATATTATTCATAAAAATTGGTAGTGTTGGTTGCAAATATGTGTATGTCATTCATTCCTTCCTTCCTTCCTTCCTTCCTTCCTTCCTTCCTTTCTTCATTCATTCTTTATTCATTCATTTATTTTTTAATCATTCATTTCTTACATTCAAAGGTAGCATTCCGAATAGAACAGTTCTTACCTCTAGACATTTCCTGGTAAATGAAACAGAAAATCCTGGAAAATATTGAAACATATACTAAAACAAATCTTAAAACGATTTGGGTAACATTTCACATGATATTACCGCCATTCGCATTGCTACGCGGCCACCCCAGACAAAAATCGTGACGTGCATTTTGCAATAGACTGCCGTCAATCAAACATGTTGACATCATTTACATGTGTGTGTGATTCAAAAAGCATCAAAACTTGTCGATTGTTTACAAGTATTATGAGCCACACTCGCCGGGCCTATCTGGGCAGATCCAAACGTGTGTAAATGACGTCAAAGTGTTTGATTGACGGCAGTCAATTGCAAAATGCATGCAATTTTTGTCTGGGGTGGCCGCGTAGCAATGCAAATGGTGGTATGCATTAATTAGTGGTGTACTGGTATCATGCTCAAAGTTTCATGCAGACAGTTTCCCACAATGGGTCGGTGTCCACTGGCAGAACGAAGCTTGAGATTGGACAAAATAACAAAAACAAAGAAAGCATGGATTATGGTGAACAATGTGTATTGTTCTACATGTCATTGCGTTCTTTGTTTTATCTCACCATTCATTGTTTGTTCATCCATTCCCAGGCTTCGTTCTGCYGTTTGTGGCTTACCCCCCACAATCCTATGGACCATGGTATATCATTAGTAGCCTGTCATTTAACTTCAAAAAGGCAGCATTTGCATACCTTTTTGTATCATTTTATCAGCAACTTTTCCTCCAACAATCTTTCCGACCAGATTTGCTATGTAGGGAAGTACATTAAAAATCCATCCCTACAGAAATGAAAACTAGAATCAATAGTTCAAAAAAATACCAAACCACCCCCCACCCCAACCCAAGGGGGAGATGTTTTGGGGGATGTGGGGAAGTATGGAGATGAAAGAGGGATTTCAATTCAATTCAATTCAATTTTATTGAATTGAAATCCCTCTTTTATCTCCAAACTTGTACATATTCTTTGGTGAGAATCTCATTCTTCTTTTATAGGGAGTATGGGTATTTTTAGACTTTCTCCAAAGTCAGACACTAATTCTTTTCACTCCAATAAAACTTCTGTAGAAGACAAGAGGGGTCAACTTGTGACAAATCTAGGCCATTTCTGGAACAAAGCAATGTCTTTATCTTTGGTTATGATGTTTGTACTTACTTTTGCCTGGGGAAAGTTTTCGTGAAAATATGTTGGTAACCAGGAAATGAGGTTGAAGTACATACAGTTATGACAAAAGTGAACAAGGACAACTGCCCTAGAGAGGAAATAAAAAAATCATTTATTCAGTCACTTATTGATTCCATCCATCTGTCCATCCATCCATCCATCCCGATCCAACTGACTGTCTGTCTGTCCATCCATCAGTCCACCTGTCTGTCTGACCACCCACTCACCCACCCATTCATCCATCTATCCAACACTGTCTGTCTGTCTGTCTTCCGTCTATTCGTCAGTCTACTCGTCTGTCTGACCAGCCACTCACCAACCCATTCATACATCCATCCATCCATACAACACTGTCTGTCTGTCTTCCATCCATTCGTCAGTCTACTCATCTGTCTGACCAGCCACTCACCCACCCATTCATCCATCCATCCAACACTGTCTGTCTGTTTTCCGTCCATTCGTCAGTCCACTCGTCTGTCTGACCAGCCACTCAYCCACCCATTCATACATCCATCCATAAATCCATTCCTTTGTTAATACACACCATACTGCTGGCTCCCACATCAGCACTCCCCATGGAACTATCGTGTCTGTTTTATGGTGCTTTGACAAAACACTTTTTTCTCTTATACTTGAACTCATATCAATAACTGCTGGATTCTGATTCAGGAAATAGTAATACCAGACCAGAGTCCATACCAGACCAGCCAAGCCAAAAATAATAAAAACCATTCGCCAGCCTAGATGTACAAGCATTAGGGAACCAAGACTACCCATGATGAGACTCCTGTGAAATGAAATAAGAAATGAAAATCATAAATACTGATATATAACATAATGGATGGATGGATGGGAAAGACTGACATAGGAGTGGGTAGTTAGATTAATGGATAGGTGAACAGATAAATGGGTGGATGAATAGGAGGGTTTTGATACGTAACATAATGAATGGATGGAT